CTATCACTGATGTTGAAAAATGGATGACACGCTTCTCTTCCCTTAAAAGTCTTTCGCACCCAATCTCGGGGTGAGATTCTCGTAAGGGGGGAGGGCTATAACACCCCGGGTGTTAGTCACATGTTAAGAAGCGAAATTGGAAGTAGGATATGCCAAGCAATGATTATGATCTCTAGTTCATAATCTGGAAGTAATAATGAAGGTGTTGAGGTCCAACCTATGAAAATGAGTCCCAACTTGGACTCGGACAATACACTTTGCTTACATGTGGACCCTGGTTAAGATTGGGCATGAGTAATGTTAAACATGCTTATTTCATGAACATTACATCAACATGCATCCATCTTGACCAGTGGAAAAGTTTCATGAAGTTTGGAATCAAGAAGTCACATGAAATGATAAGTTATAACCTTTATTGAATTGCTTTATTAAGTAAATGGGGATATGAGATGTCGAACAAACCTTGCTACCTTGCCCAAATGACTCTAATTGAACTCTACAACAAAAGTCATGAAGGGTTCATGTAACAACCCAGAAATTTCCAGAAAACAAAAAAAATCAAATCATCACAACTACAAATTTTTTTCTTCTAAAAATAGCCAATGGTTGGTGAATGTCTTGTAGGAAAACTACCCTAGTTGCATAAGTAGTACCTATTGTAGATGTTTATATCCTTGTATTTAATTAAATTTGCATGAGTTGCTTCTTATGTTCTTTTGTATTGATTAATAAAAGCAACAACATTTATTTAAATATTTAAACAAATGTGTGTGTGTTGTTGCCAACCCTTGGTTGAGCCCTAAATGACCTCTAGTGGACCCCACTAGGGCATACATGTGTAGGCAACACATGTGTATGCATGTAGGAACTATGGAGTAGCTAGAAAAATGAAGACATAACATAGAAGAGCTAATTCAATTAAGCTAAAATGGAGAAACCCCTTTTGGCCCTAGAGCTCAAGCTAGCCTGGCTCCATAGCCCGCGAACGGACTCCAGCCCAGCAGGCCGCGCACCGGCACCTGCGGGCCAACCCACCCCCCAACCGGCCCAGCCTTTCAGCTGCCCCACTCCCACCGTGACGGGCCACGGATTCGGCACGGCCCAGCAACGCCGAGATGGCCCAGCTGGGAGCCCGCTCTTCATTCGCGTTATACAGGAGCCGCTCTTCCCTTTTTCCCGGTCACCGCCGGCTGGGACCCCATTGTCATCGTCCTCCTCGAGCCTTCACCCCCTTTTCGCGCCTAAGTCAGGACAGAGGAGGGGGAATCTCCATAACCAGCCATTCTCTTCACGTCGGTTGACAACGAACACGTGGATGCGACGCCACATCCCTATCCACACTGCTACCGTCCCCAGCTAGAGCCATCTGCACCATGACGCCATCGCTATGGCCCGTGCCCTTGCAACCGCCCCTGGCACCATCGTACGAAGCCTGAGCAGGTTGTTGCGCCAAAACGGAGGCGCCAAGGCAACCTGCGACCGCACCATGACCTTAACCCTAGCCTAAGCGCACCGATCACCTCCACGTGGCCCTAAGCCCCCTTTCTGCCGTTCACCTCGCCATGATCACCACCTCTCTATAAGAAGGCACCACCGAGGTGCCCTAGACGTTTCCCATCACCTTGCCGCCGCCCTGGTGGCCACCACTTCCCGTCGCGACCAAGAGAAGGAGGAGAAGGAGGGAGAAGGGGAGTAGAGAAGAGTGGGTTCTACCGGAGCCGCCAAAGAGGAGCCACTGGAATGGAAGGCGATGACCTGATCGGCTACAGCGGAGTAGCTGCTCGGCACAGCACGGCCTTGCCCCGACACTACCTCGACTTGCCCTGCATCGATATCCCTTCGCCATCGCCACCTACGGTGAGCCCCAGCACCCTCCTGGCTCTCTACCATAGTGTTCGCGGGCATCACTTCGCCGTCTCCGTACCGGGAATGAGCAAGAGGAGGCCCTGACCCCTGTACCCTACCTACACACACGCACACACACATGCCGCCCCAACCACGGACCGCACTACGCACCGAGGGCCTAGGAATGCTGGAGGGGCGACGCGTTACGAAGCATACCCGCCATGGCTAGAGCTCACCATGGCGAGGTTCTGTTCTTGCCGCGTTAGGCCGGTAGAAGTGAGGGAAGGAGGGCTATCTATTTCGCCTTGGCAAGGGACGCACCGCGCGCAGCAAGATGGAGGAAGAGAGCCACGTGAGGGAGCTGCTCGCGTTTACCTTGTCGGTGGAGCCACGCTCAAGAGCGCTATCGTGTCGAGAGCGTTCCCGATCACGCCGGCCACCTCGCTGGACAAGGGCGGGCCGAGAATTCTTTGGTTGAGCCTAAAAACGCTGCCGAGGAGCCGCCGTGGCTAGAGAACGGCCGCTCGCCATCGACGGGCGCGCCACCACGTGGGGAAGCAAGGGGTGGGGCCGAGACAGTAGTTCGGTGCACCATGTACACCATGAACCAAGAGGATGAATGAGAAGGTGAATGCGGTCCACCATAGATCCCACGTGCACCCATGAATCGCTCGGTCATGCCCACCGTGAGCCACGCCTACAAAGACTGGAGCCCATTTCGAATCCACAGCGCAACGTGGCATCACGGGGAGCTGCCACATGTCCGGCCCAGACCGGCCCAACCCGGCCCGTATCCAGCCTAGCCCGGTCTTGGCCCGGTCAAAGTTGATCGTTGACCGTTGACCAGTCAATGGACCCACCTATCAGTGACTCACTCCGTCCTAGCCAATTGGGTGCTGCCACATGTCACTGCCTGGAATTTCCAATTCTTTTTCTTTTTTAGAAATTCATTTAATCTTTGAAAATTCATAACTAATTCATTTTAACTCAGAAAAATACCAAACCAGTGTTCAAATTTTTCTAAAAATGAGCTCTATGTCATAGGCTTGTGTTTGAGTGCCTTTGGATCTTTTGAATTTCTGTTGCTCCTTTGTGCACCTTTATAGGAGTTGCTCACGCGACCATATGTTACGTTTAACAAAGCCAGAGGACCTGTCGACTAAGGAGTACGACCCCGACTACAGCGAGGACTTGGGAGATGACCTGCCAGGTGCCACGCCCCACCCAATCTCATAGATCCTATTACACATGCTATAACTAGAATTGCTAGCGCTTTATCTTTTATGCAATAATATGATGTTAGGTTGCATGGTAGTTTTACTTGAGCCTTATACTTTGTTGCAATCTTACTCCTGCACACCCGCTGATAGGCTAGATGCTCGCTTGTTACATACTTACTGCTTTACTCTTACTCGCATTATATCTGTGATGTGATGCTGGTGAGGGAGAGACGTATGTGCGTAAGGCACGAGGTGCCGTAAAACTTGGTAAAGCTGGATAATGAACATGGGGAGATCTTGGCGTGTGTTTTGGGTGTGTGGTGAGGGTTGAGTCGATCGGATAGGATCTTACGACGAGTCTTTGGGGCAAGTCATGCCGAAGGGGTGCGACCTGGGCATCCCTTGCGAGAGTTACCTGTGGCGGGTATAAGTGAGAGGTGGACTGGGGTGTTGGTTATCCCAAGTGAGGTGCTATCGAGGCACGAGGAGTTGGTGATCCCCTTTTGAGAAGATATCCTATCCGGTCCCCCTAAGGACTGGTATGTCTTGTGAACCGGAACCATGGGACCTTCGTGCACACCACTCGCTCCCAATGGGCAGGGGACGATTACCCGACTGACTAGGGCGGTACCACTACTACTAGGTTGGAAGGTGATAGTGTAGGGAGGTACGAGCATGGGGACCCACACCCTCCTAAGACAGCGTAGTGACCTTGGGGGCCTGGTACTACGTCTCACAGTCTCAGCGTTTCAGTGGAATCCAGGGTGGCCCAGGGCTGAGTGGTAGGGTGGTACTGTACCGGTTGGGAGGCAGTCGGAATTAGCCTAGACAAGCCAGATCGTCGAGGATGGTGATCTTGTGGATTACCAGGTGTACACGTTCTGCAGAGTTGATCGATCTATACGTATAGCCGCGTCCACGGATATGGACATTCCCGTGACCTACGCTTTACTTGATTAGAGAGAGGAGTCCTTCTCTACCTTTCCCCTGGGTTTCATGTTGGATTCCGGCTTTGGCCATTGTGGCGAGATCTGAGCGGGAGTCAATCTCGTCGCCTAGAGAGAGAGTGAGATGAGATGAGATGTGTGTGATGGGTAGGGAGAATGTGTGAATAAGATGGGTTAAAAAAACCTGATGAACATATTATTATTAAAATATTAACTACTTGCATAGGAAACCCACAGCCTAAATAGGTCTCTTTCTACTTCCCCCAATGCATTCCACTCTCCACAAAGCAATGCAAGTATAGGGTGGGCGATGCGTGGCCAGTACCAAGTGTACTGATAGATTTTTGGCAGGTTCCGAGCCTGAGTACGACTATGAGGGCGATGACTAGGAGGACTAGAGGGTCTGTTCTGTGCTCGAGCTGGTTCTAGGAGATCGTTTCCCACTGCTATCCTCATCAGATGATGTTTAGGATGCTATGTGTGAGCGTGTTCCGTCCTGCATGGCAAAGAGAATAATTTTTGTAAAACTCTTTATGGTACTCTGATAATCATGTATGACTTGGTGTATCACTGAGATTTGGGTAAATTAACGAATTGTTCGTCATTTTACACTTCATTTTTGTGGATTTCCCTTCATGGAAATCAAGGATGTTTCAGTTGGTATCAGAGACATGCTTGACCCTAGGACGAACCCATTGGTTTGGACAATAGGATTATGAAATATCTTGACACTTTCGGTTATATTACCGGCCGTGCTGCATTTTTGTGCATGGCTTACCTCAATTTCACACTCTCTTACCTAAATTTCGTTCTACCTTACTCATCACATCGCTCCGTTCCACCCTGATTCACCCTGTATCACTCAAGATTCACCAAGTATCAACCTGATTTACCTTGCTTCGCCTTGTCTTACCAAGTTTCACTTTGTAATACTCAAGATACTTCATAAATAACAAGTACTGACTCCGTCTTACGGTTAAAATTGCAGATGGCTCCTGTTGTCGAGCTCCCTATGGACGGACTGGCCTACCGTGGGTTCACCATGATCCTGTATGATGTACTGGACTCGCTAGGTGTTCCCACAGAGGAGATCGAGTACGTGTGCCGGGGTGAGCCTAGACCCGACGGGTTCAAGGGCCACATCATGGTCCATCTCAAGGTCCCCGCCAGCGAGTTCATACCCGTGTTGCGTGCCTTCAAGACACTAGAGGTGGAGAACTCCATCGCTTCGTGCGTGCAGTCCGTCTCACGCACTGCTCTTCGTAGTGTGATGCGTGATGCACACGACTACCTCAAGACGGGACCGTACCGCCTGCTGCCTACCGCTCTGGACCTCAACAGGTTCTCGGAGCCACAGATCACTGCTATAGACCGTGCTGCGTGTGACGAGGTCGACCCCTGCCTAAGGGCCTCCGCGTAGTACATCATTGCCCAGGATCGCTACATCATGGATGTGGAGATGCAGAACCGCCGCTACCGAGACCTCCTGTTCCATTGCGACGAGGAGTTCCTCAAGGTGGAGCGCAAGGTGGAGGAGATGGTCGGCAAGCTCGAGGAGCGCATGGGCTATGACAGAATGAAGACCTTCTACGAGACCTGTGAGAAGTCACTTCGGGAGGAGATCACCAACCTCAAGGACAAAGTTAGGGGAGGCTGAGCTTCGCCACGACTATCTTGAGTCCAAGGTGCTTGAGTGCGAGGATCGGATTGAGCGTCAGAGGCTTACCCTGAGGGAGTTCCACGAGAAGGAGAAGCACCGTGGCATCAAGAAGCTTGCCTTGGAGGCCCGTTGCAACACAATGGAGAAGCTGGCTGTGGAGGCTGCCGTCACCACCACCTACAACATGCATCACCTGGTTCACTACATCAAGTGCACCGAGTACCTTTAGGACAAGGTGAACCGCATCAGCCAGGCTTGGATCAACGCTGATCGCAAGCGCGTCCAGGAGATCAGGAAGGTCCAGGACGTCCTCTTACCTGGGATGCGCAAGAAGCTGTGCAGACAGCCCTTCCATGTTGAGGCCACCAAGCTCAACTTCAAGGCTTGCCCGACGGAGGGTTACTCAGAGGTTCTGAGGACAGAGATGCTGGACTATGCTCTCACCTATGTCGCGAGGATCCACCGCTCCGACGACGAGCTCCGTGCCATGGAGGGCACTCCTGAGGCTTCCACTTCCGGTCCTTCTGCACCACCCGTCACTCCCAGACAGGAGTAGTTAATGTAGTAGTAGACATGTTGAGCCCTGCGTGGCCAGAGATATGACGAACCCATGGAGTAAAGTAGGATGTCCCACTTTTGGAGCTGCCTGTGAGTAGCACGATTCCCGCGAATCTGTCAGTGTAGCTATTGGAGATGTCGCTATGTAATAAATTAATGTAATGGATGTTTTGGATCTTATTGCCTCTTATGGTTCTTATTTGCATCTTTGTATGAGTGTTGGATAGAAATCTCATTTTAAATTGATAAACCACTTAACAATGCATCTAACAAAAAATGTTAAATAATGACCTAACCCTGTAGAGAGATGTCTTGCCACCATTCTGCTCGTCTGAACAACTGCTCACTTTCCCCCACGCCCATGGCCTGTGGTTGTGGCCGTGGCCGTGGAGGAGGCAGGGGAGCTCCCTTCGGTGCTAGGGAGGAGCCCGCACTAGAGGAGCCCGCATTGGGGGTGGGTGCCGCCCAGCAGCTTGGAGGAGGAGCACCACCGCCGCCGCCACCACAGTTGGCGGAGGTGATGGACCGCCAAACCCACCTCTTAGAGGCGCTGGCTTAGGGGATGCTTCACTACCACGAGGGTCCTCCCAATGACTTCTAGAGGAAGTTGGAGGGTTTCCTCAAGCTGAGGCCTCCTACTTTCGACACCGCCGACGACGACCCCATCGCCGCCGAGGACTGGCTCCGTGAGATGGAGAAGAAGCTGGACCTTACCACCTGCACTGATGAGGAGTGCGTGGGGGTCACCGCCCACCAGCTCACTGGCGCTACACGCGCATGGTGGGACAGCTACTGCGACGCCCACGAGGACCCGGGGAGTATCTCTTGGGAGGAGTTCACCGAGGCCTTCCGTGAGCACCACGTGCCCAAAGGTGTCATGGATGCCAAGGTGGAGGAGTTTCGCAACATCTCCCAAGGCTCCTAGAAGGTTCAGGAGTACACCACTCGCTTCACCCTCATGATGAGGTATGCTCCAGGTGAGACCGATACCGAGAAGAAGATGTACTACTTCAAGAAGGGGCTGAACTCTCGTCTCAAGGTGGCCCTCTCGGGTCATGCCTATTGCACCCTTCGTGAGATGGTCAACAAGGTGCTGAAGATGAAGAGGGATTGTCTAGAGGCGGACACCCTCCATAAGGAGAAGATGCGCTGGTTCGAGAGTTCCTCTCGTGGCCTGGCCCCGCAGAGGCCACATGCTCACATGCTTCCTCTGCTCCGCTCATGCTACACTCAGGGGGCTATGACCGCTCCGAGCCATGGAGGTGGTACCTACACCGCCAACTACCACCGCCCCGCTCAGAGCCATCCTGCTCCGAGTCACCCCACTCAGGGAGCTAGCACATGGAGGACCGCTACGCCCACCTCCACAGGTAGCACGCCCTTCACCTGCTTCGGTTGTGGCCAGCCCGGTCACAAGATCGCTGAGTGCTCCATCAAGAACGGCACACTGCCTGCTTCGACCCAAGCGAGATAGGCTGCTACACCTACTGCTTCGCACAAGAACATTGCAGGGGCAGTCCATAGTCGTCTCAACCACATGACCGTGGAGGACGCCCAGGACACTCCCGATGTGGTGTACGGTATGTTTTTGGTACAGGGAGTTATAGCTTCAGTTTTGTTAGACTCTAGAGCTACTTGTTCATACATTTCCACCAAGTTTGCACGAGAGCATAGCATACCTGTGACCCCCCGCAAGAAGCCCATTGACACTATTTCACCTTTGGGTCGCATTATATGCACCAAGAGATGTCAGGGAGTGAGTATCACCATTGAGGGCTACCCTTTCCTAGCCGATCTCACCTTACTTCCATCTGAGGGACTAGATGTCGTACTAGGAATGGATTGGTTGACACAGCACAAAGGAGTGATATCTTGTTCACCAAGGTACGTAGAGATCACACACCCGAGTGGTCACATAATCCGCTGTAAGCCTAATCAGGGAAAGACAGTCTCTATGCTGTGTGCCTTAGAGGCCAAGACAGTCGAGGAGGTACCCGTTGTGAATGAGTACCCTGACGTGTTTCCTGAGGAGTTGCCAGGCATGCCACCTGATCGGGATGTAGAGTTTGTGATTGACCTTCTACCTGGTACCGGGCCTATTGCTAAAAGGCCCTACCGCATGTCAGTCGATGAGCTGGAGGAGCTAAAGAAATAGCTCAAGGAGTTGTCAGACAAGGGGTACATCAGACCCAGTGCTTCACCCTGGGGTTCCCCTATTTTGTTCGTGAAAAAGAAGGATGGATCCATGAGGATGTGCATTAACTATCGGAACTTGAATGCCGTGATAGTCAAGAACAAGTATTCTCTACCCAGGATCAATGACCTCCTAGATCAGCTGAAAGATGCCAAGTACTTTTCCAAGATTGATCTTAGGTCTCGGTATCATCAGATGAAAATCAGACCCGAGGACATTCCTAAGACAGCTTTCGTCACTAGATACGGGCAATATGAGTTCATAGTGGTGTCCTTCGGACACACTAATGCCCCAACTTATTTCATGAACACGATGAATAAGGTATTCATGGATGAGCTGGACAAGTTTGTGGTGGTGTTCATTGATGACATCCTTATCTATTCCTCCACCGCCGAAGAGCATGAACAACACTTGACAGTGGTTCTGTAGAAGTTGAGGCAGAATCAGCTTTATGCCAAGTTTAGCAAGTGTGACTTCTGGCTCGAAAAAGTCGCCTTTCTTGGTCACGTTCTCACTGCTGAGGGAGTCGCTGTAGATCCCGCAAAGATTGAAGCTGTGAAGGAGTGGGAACAACCCCGCAATGTGACCGATATCCGCAGTTTTCTCGGATTGGCTGGGTACTATCGAAGGTTCATCGAGAACTTCTCAAAGATAGCCAAGCCCATGACCAACCTATTGAAGAAGACTAATGAGTTTGAATGGACGCCGGAGTGCGAGCATAGCTTCTAGACTCTGAAACAAAAGCTTACCACCACTCCTGTTCTTGCCTTGCCCGATATCCAGAAAGACTTTGTAGTCTATTGTGATGCATCCAGACAGGGACTGGGTTGCGTTTTGATGCAGAGTGGGAGAGTCATTGCCTATGCGTCCCGACAGTTGAAGGGCCATGAACAACGCTACCCGACCCACGACCTTGAGCTTGCCACTGTTGTGCATGCCCTAAAGATCTGGAGGCACTACTTGATCGGAAATAAGTGTGATATCTACACCGACCATAAGAGCCTGAAGTACTTCTTCACACAAGAGGATCTAAACATGAGACAGCGTAGATGGCTAGAGCTTATAAAGGATTACGACCTAGAGATTCACTATCATTCGAGAAAAGCTAATGTAGTCGCTGATGCCTTGAGCTGAAAGAGCTATTGCCACAATCTATCCATGGAAGCTGTACCACCCGAGCTGTGTCAGGAAATGGGTGACCTTCGTCTTGAGATTCTACCAAAGGGTATGCTAAATGAGCTTCGAGTGCAATACAACCTCAAGGATTGGATCCGTAATGATCAACTAGAGTGTCCGGAAATCTGGGAGATATGAGAACTCATGAAGAGGGGCAAGTGCCCTGAGTTCAGGGAAGATGTGCAAGGAGTGTACTGGTACAAGGACAGAATCTATGTACCATCTGATCCCACCTTGTGGCAAGAAATCTTGGAAGAGGGTCATGACTCTAACTATTGTATCCACCCAGGAAGCACCAAAATGTATGCCGATATGAAGAATCAGTTCTGGTGGAAGAACATGAAGGCAAATATTGCCGGGCATGTCGCGCGATGCGACATTTGCAATAGGGTCAAGGCCGAGCATCAGAGATCGGCCGGGTTGATTAATCCCTTGGACGTCCCGATGTGGAAATGGGAGAGCATATCCATGGACTTTATAGTGGGTTTACCTCAAACCCCAAAAGGCCATGACTCGATTTGGGTGATTGTTGACCAACTGACCAAGGTAGCTCACTTCATAGCTATGAGGAATGACTATAGAGTTGAGAAGTTAGTAGATCTGTACATCGAGCACATTCTCAGACTCCACGGAGCCCCCACTAGCATAGTGTCTGATTGTGGCACGCAACACGTGTCCAAGTTCTAGAAGAGTCTCCACAAGGCCATAGGGACTCGACTAGATTACAGCACCGCGTACCACCCACAGACAGATGGTCAGACAGAGAGGGTTAATCAGATTTTATAGGACATGCTCCGAGCTTGTGTCTTGAAGTATGGGTCTGATTGGGAGAAAAGCTTGTCCCACACAGAGTTCTCGTACAACAATAGCTACCAGGCTAGTCTCAAGATGTCACCGTTTGAGGCATTGTATGGCAGAAAGTGTAGAACCCCTCTAATGTGGTCAGAGGTAGGAGAGAGATCATTCTTTGGCCCCGCAAAGATCAAAGATGCCGAAGAAGGAGTCGCCCAAGTGCGAGAGAACCTGAGGATTGCCCAAAGCCGATAGAAGAGCTACGCAGATAACCGTCGGAGAGACCTCGAGTTTCAGGTTGGGGACTATGTCTACCTCAAAGTCTCCCCACTCTAAGGCACTGTCAGATTTCATGTGAAAGGGAAGTTGGCCCCTAGGTACGTGGGACCTTACAGGATTTGTTAGAGGATCGTCAAGTTGGCATACAAGGTAGAGTTGCCCGAGGAGTTGATAGGAGTACACCTAGTGTTTCACGTGTCCTAGCTACGCAAGTGCTTGCAGTTGCCAGAGCAAGAGGTACACACAGATGCACTAGATATTCAGGACACTCTAGAGTACATAGAACACCCAATCCGGATACTAGATAGAGCTGAGAAGGAGACTAGAAGCACCGTGATACCCATGTGCAAGGTTCAGTGGAGCAACCACACTGAACGGGAAGCTACATGGGAGAAGGAGTCCGAACTCCGGATGCTTTACCCCTACCTCTTCGAAAGGTATGTCACACCTTAAATCTCGGGATGAGATTTCTATGAGGGGAAAGGACTGTAACAACCCAGAAATTTCCAGAAAACAAAAAAAAAATCAAATCATCACAACTACAAATTTTTTTTCTA